GGCAGCAGAGGGCTTCTGGAGCCTGTGAAAGGAGCTTGGCTGGGAGGCAGCGGGTGGCAGCGCTTGGCAAGGGTAGTGAGCAGCTGGAGAGGAGGTGGAGAAGCAGGATGATGTCACATTGTGGGGAAGATCTGCTCTTGCTGCAGCAGACTAAGGAGATGAAAGCTTCTCTCCTTATTCAGGCTGTGTCACGGCAGACTGACTTGCTTGGTCAATACGAGGAATCCTTCTTCTCTACCCCCCTCACCTCTCTGTGTGCTGCGTTATCTGCTTGGGATCGATCTCCCTGACTCCTTGGTCATTGGGACTTGATGATCCTTGAGGTTTTTTCCAACCTTAATGATTCTGTGATTGTTCCATTACCTCCCTTGAGCCTAACTAGACAAACACTGCCTGGAAGCCAGTCTCCCAGGTTGACAGGATTCTGGTTTTGCCTCTCTCTGTATAGCTGGTGTCTGCCGTTGTGGAGTATGGAGGGAAGCGGGTCCGGGGCAGTGACCTGTTCAGTCCCAAGGATGCTGTAGCCATCACCAAACAATTCCTCAAAGGACTGAAGGTACGGATCTGCCACAGATGAAATCATGACGATTCTAGTCAAAATTACAGTTGAGGAGCAGGACTTGCATGCCATGTGTCATGAATTTGAGAGGTTTAATTGTAAGTGCATTGGGCTTCTAGTGCATGATTCTCACTGAAGACAACAGGAGTTAGTTGCTGAGAAGCCTCTCTAAATCTGGGCTTCAGCAGTCAGCTCTTGCTGTGTCCATCAGATGATCCTGCTCCTTTTTTGTGCCTTTGCTGATCTCTCTTAGCCTGCTCCCTTGCTGTCTTAATTCATAACAAGAGCTTCTCTTGCACTGCAGGGTGTCGAGAATGTCTATACACAGCACCAGCCTCTCCTTCAAGAAACACTCGATCAGCTCATCAAAGGAAAACTCAAGGACAGCCAGTACCCCTACCTGGGTCCCAACACTCTCCGTGACAGGTACATGAGGCCTTTTGGAGCAGAGCTTGGAACTGAAGTACATCTGCTCCTCCCCGTGCTGCCGCTCGTTTTGTTGTTTGCCTGTAGATGAACAAAACTTGGGCTTGGCAGAGGAATGTCTTGATTGTGTCAGTCTTTCTTGTATCCTTAAGTCGGTGCCCTGGAGAGGGCTGTTAGGACGGAAATGCAGGTGGCTTTTCTTGCTGGCCAGGATGTGACATTCCCATTGCCAGGGCTCAGGTAAAGCCATTGCACCGAGCTGCCAGGGTGTTCACAGGATGGATTTCAGCATGCCCCCTAACTTCACTCCGTGCCATTTGGCGTTTATTTGTAGAGTACCAAAAATAGTCCGACTGCAAGCTCTCCCTTCTGAGCCAGTTACTATTCCTGATGAGAACGGGATCTTGCTGAATATGGCCAATAACGGTAACTGGAAAGGACTCTGGCTGTCTGCTTCTCGCTGACTTTGCCAGAGCTAAGCTAATCTGTTGTCAAAGAAGTCATTAAAGGTAAAGAGCCGTGGCGCTGAATCATGAGAGAGAAGATGACAAGTCCTCCTCTAACGGCATTCTGTACAATCACTCCTCTCTTCGGTACCGCAGTTTCCTTTCTCTAAATTAAGTTGAGCTTCTGCATCGTGCTGGTCGGGTATTTGTTACTCCTTCTAGTGGTGGTTTCCTTTGAGGAGCAGAGCCTGCTGTTGCTTTGCTTCCTTTGGGTGATCCGTGGCGAGCTCATCGCAGCAATTCTCTGAATCTTCTTCAGTGTCTGTTCAGTGCCCCAGGTTTCTGTGGGTGTTTTACTTTCAGCATTAGAACCATCATCGTTCCCTTCGCATGCTGCGTATTATTAGCTTTTTATCAGCTACTGCCACATTCCTAGTGAAGAAGAAAATAAATTCAAGGTGCTAATTCTCAACAAACGAGGCGGCTGGTTGTTGCAGGGTGGTTCGGGTTAAGTGAAAACCACAAACTCCTTTGGAGCGGGATAGAAGTAGACTCGGGGATCAGGGTTCAGCGGTGTCAAGCGGCTGGGAGGGGCAGAAGCATGTCAAAGAGTGAGCAGTCGTGTCTGCCTCTCTTTGAGATGTGCACGCACGCTGCTCTTCCTCCTTAGCCCTGCCTTGGGGCTTTTCCATCCATCTCATGAAAGCGAAAATGTATTTTGTAGCAGGAAGGCATCCAAATTCCATGCCAGGCTGACAGCAGGGGAGGTTAATAATTTTATTTATGAACAAGAAAGAATTATAGTCATACAAGAAACAATTTGGTTGTGTACGTCCCTGGATAGACCAAAAAGATATCTGTCTTATTCCAGATTTTCCCTTTACACGGTGAATTTTGGGTAGGGTGGATGGGTGGTTTGAAAAGGTGTGAGATATCAAAGCCCCTAGCAACAGAAACACTTTCCTCTGCGTCCTTGAGCCCAGCTCTCAACTGAGATGGATTTCAGCCCAACAAGAAGAGGTCGAGGGATGTGGTTTGTGGTAGATCTGAAATGAGACCTGCAGGACAGCAGTGACCCCATGCAGGCATCCCCAGCCTGGGTTTGTTCCGAGCTAACTAGAAGCAAATGCTCTTCTGACCTTTATCTTCTCTCTTACCGTTCCCACTTCCATTTTCCTGAGCTGTGTTTCACTTTGATTCCTCTTTACATGTTTCCTGAAAAGGGCACAGCAACCTGCCCCTGAGCATCCTGCTACAAAGAACACGCGAAGGATTTATTTGGGGGAGCGTGAGAAGGGTTTAATTCCCACCTTGAACTGAAGGAAAAAAGAAGTTGGATGAAGGGAAATGGAGTTTGCACCTTCTCCACAGTGGCTACAGCCTTGTCTCGTGGCTAAAAGGTCTGAATCCTGTAGTTTTGTTGAAGTAAATCTCAAAATACAAAGGCAGAGCTTCCAAACTATTTTTTTCCCTTAAATTTCTTTGGTTTGGGATCGTCCTTGGGAGAGTGGCCGGGTCCAGCTGCGCTGCTGCTGGGCCAGATGTCTGCAAAATGATCGAAAACATCAGGGCACGTGGTTATTGGGTTGTTCCCTGACAGGAGGAGTTGTTGAGTTTAAGACAGAGGAGGTATGGAAGTGAGGGTTTGTAACGGACAGAAAATAGGCACCAAAATCCTTTTGTGTCTGGTCTTTACTTGCTGCGTAAAATGGGGGCCACAGCACCGTGCTCTCTGTACAGTGTGAATATTCAGTGTCGGGAAAACGGGGGCTCATCTAAAACCAGGTTTTAGTTATCAGGTTTGGAAGAAAAAGGCCTGCTTCAGTGCCAAACCAGTTGAGCAAGGCATTTAAATTTAATAATTTCACAAGACTTGGTATAATAAATCCCAGCCCAAGGCAAACTGGGCTCCGCTGTCGCGGTGCTTTCTGCTTTCAGAGGATGGTGTTACGGTGATTGGCAGGGGGTCAGCAGGAGGGCAAAAAGAAAGGCTTTGTATTTTTTGATCAAAGGCATGCCGTTGCTTGAACAGCAAAGAATCTGAAAGGATTCTTTTTAACTCTTTCTTTCTGTATTAAGCATCACACTGTTGCAAGGGAGGACAAGCTCCTGGTCCAGATTCAGCAGCAGCGAAGGAGAGGGAATCTTTGCAAAGCACCAAGCAGGGTTCCTAGGAGAGAGCAATAAGCAGTTCTGATTTCTTTTCCTTCTCCTTTATTTCCTGCTGTGTTAAATATCATCCTTTTCTCCTGTGCCGTAAGCCTGCCGTCCTTCCACCTCGCTGCTGGAAGGTGCTAACTAGAAAAGTTCCCGAAGCCTCTCGGTCACGGCAGCCTGCGGGAGCCCCGGCTGCGTTACCCGCTCTATGAAATGCCTCCTGCGGTTTGTCACCCCCTGGGCGTGCTCCGCTCGCCAGGCTCTGCCCGAGCCTCCCCTTTGCGGGGAGCTTTTGTTTCGTTTGTGCTTTGACCGGGGATTTTCTCTACCAGGGCGTTTGTCCCAACCAGAGCCACTGGCCCTGGCGGCGTGGCTGGAGTCCGCTTCTTACAGCATCGAGGTTGGGATGAGACCACAGGACAGCTCTGTCGCTTCTTGAAACCAAACGCGGGTCCTCAGCATTTTGCATGAACCAGGCAAGAGCCCGTGGAAGAGTGGGACAAGGCACGCCGCTCCTGGGGATCCCGCTGGGACTCGGCTCGTTCCGGCTCGCTCTCAAATTCCCACCATTGCGTACCTGCTTATTGAAAAATCTTGGAAAGTTGCCTTGTCTGAAAGCCCATCAAAGTTCAGACTTAAGCGGAACGTGAGAACTCACCCAATACCATCTGGACATGATATTTCTCCCCCTGATTTTGGTGAAGGGAAAGTTCCTGTTGACGGTGTGAGGAGAGGAAGAATTTGGAACCATTTAAAATTTCTGTAGCTGCCACACATCCAAAGGGATGGCTGAGATATCTCCTTCGGCAGCGACTAGAAAATCTCCTTTTTTGGAAGCATCAGCGTGCAGCATGTGATGTGGAACCACTTGGCTGGCTGCTTTTCCATCTGAGCTCACACACGCTGCCCTAAAGATGAGGGAAAGCGGCGCTGCTCCTAAATCATAAATATTCTCTTGTGCTCAGCGTGGTTTGCGTTTTGTGGATTTTTATTTTTTTTTTTTAAACGCAAAACTCGGACTGTGTCCTTGTTTGTTCAAGGAAGTTGCTTCTTCCTCCTGTCTGCGGTGAGCATTTAGCTGTTAAATTGGTGGTGAACCCGAGGAGATCCGTGCCACATCCCCAACCTGGGGTTGAGGAACGCAACAGCTGGAGTGAGCATCGCTGCAGATTGCTTTCCCACTAATCCTATAACGGTCTCGGGGTTTCTTGCTGTTCTGAAATCGCTTATTATTTGCCCTTGATACAAGCAGTAATTCCCTGGGCGCTTTGTGTGAACACCAAGATCCTTTTGTTCTCTCGGTGACAGATCTGCCTCTGCAGGAGCTCGCTTCTGGTCTGCGAGGAACCTGCCGGGGAAACGCCGGATGCTTTGAGCGAGGCACCCGAAGTGGGAGAGTGGCTGTGTTCTGCCCCCACTCCCCCCTCCCAGGCTTAATCCTCTAAGAAAGCGATATAAAAGCAAAAATAAGCGTGTTCTGTGCCGTACTCCTGATACCATCACAGCAGCATGGGAAGTAGAGGATATAATGCCCGAGCAGGAAGTTTTCTTACCTGCGACCCAGCATCTCGGAGGCATTACCAGTTTAGTGTGCAGCCCGGCGTAGGCAGCAGCTCTCCTGTGCTGAGCCTGGTTGGATTATCCTTCTTTCTGGATTTCTCGATCTTTTTAGTATAGGATTTTCTGGATATCAATCAAGCTGTTCCTCCCATCCTGTAAAGACTCTACAAAAACTGTTAATTCGCAGTGACGAAGCCGTGCACGAGATGTAACCCAGAGTTCCTGCTGCAGGATGGCAGGGGGATGTTCTTGCGGTCTGCGATGGGATCACTGGGTTGGTCTCCCGAGCTGGATACCAGCTGCTTCGTAAAAAGTCCAGAAGTGACTTAAAGGGAAAAAAGAACCATTTTGTACAGCACCTAGCAGAGGGGAATTCTGCGCTATGAGAGGGTCTGCTAAACACAGCAGCAAGAAAACCACTGAAAATAATATATATTAAA